TTTGTGGCCCCATATACGAATGCCCTTCGTGGCCCCCGCTCGTTCGCGCCCGTCGTGGCCTCATATGCATGCCCTTCGTGGCCCCGCTGTCGCCCTTCGTGGCCCCGTTGCTGCCCTCAGTGGCCCTGTCCTTGCCCTCCGCGGCCCAACATACGTATGCCCTTCGTGGCCCCCGCTCGTTCGCGCCCGTTGTGGCCGCATGTGCATGCCCTTCGTGGCCCCGCTGTCGCCGTTTGTGGCCCCCTCACTGTCCTACGTGGCCCAGTTGCTACCCTCAGTGGCCCTGTCCTTGCCTTCTGTGGCCCCGCATTATCTGCTCTTCGTGGCCCCCGCTCGTTCGCGCACTTCGTGGCCCCATACGCATTCCCTTCGTGTCCCCGCTGTCGCCCTTCGTGGCCTACTTCGTGTCCTTCGTGGCCCTGCTGTCGTTCTCTCTCGCTCTCGCTTTCGCTCGTCTCGTCGTCGTCGTCGTCGCCGTCGTCGTCGTCGCCGTCGTCGTCGACGTCGTCGTCGTCGTCGTCATCGTCGTCGTGGTCGGTCCCCGGTCCGTCCCTCTTGGGGTCGGGTCGACGGTCCGCGGCCGCCCCGCCGATCAGCGCTGCCGCTGGCCAGGCCGACGGTCCGCGGCCGCCCCGCCGCTTGCCGGGGCTGGGCCTGCAGGGAAGAAGGGTATATCCCACAAGTGGGGTTCGATCGAAGACGAAGAGGGCGGGTATCGAGGGTTTGGGAAATACGCGTTATTGGACACTCGAGCAAGTAAGGGCGAACAGTCTTAAACTGATGGTGATTGTTGTTGTTGTTGTTGTTGTTGTTGTTGTTGTTGTTGTTGTTGTTGTTGTTGTTGTTGTTGTTGTTGTTGTTGTTGTTGTTGTTGTTGTTGTTGTTGTTGTTGTTGTTGTTGTTGTTGAACATTATTTCTTCTAAAGAATAATTATTGTTGGGGCCCCTGGTGCATGGCCCCCCCGCCGCGCCTAGGCCGCAGCCTCATTTTCATCATTTTCGTGAGGAAGTCTCAGTCAAAACGATGTCATCCAGATCCGGTTGTGTTGTTACGATCGGTTTTCCCTTGCAAAAAATAAGCTAAAGTGGACATTTCTTGTTCTAACATAACCAAACTTCAAGAATCCCTTGCAAAAAATAAGGTAAAGTGGACATTCGCGCGCGCAAGACGAAATCCTTCCAAAACCTTAGTTTTCGTAGCGATTTTAACATAAAAACATCAAAAAACCAATGGTTTTTTCAAAAAAAAAAATGTCAAAATTTCATCCCGCGCGCTCTTGCGGATTCGTAGGAAACCCAACACTTTTTAATCATTTCTGTCAAACGGGCTTTTGCGAGCAACTTTTTCGAACTTCTGCAACAACGGTTGCGCACCTGCCAGGGCCATCATCCCTGTCAAATAATACCATGCGGGACACATTCGTTTTTTCTTCGCGCGCGCACGCCGTCGTCGTCGGCCGCGGGGCCCTGAATAGTAGCCACGGTCGTCCGCATGCCACGAAGTGAAGTGTCCGAACGTCATAGGGCGGGAAGCTGGGTGTGGGTGGTGGCGAAGAGTCGTTTGGAAATTTGGTAGAGCTTGAACCGGCCCCCCCACAAAGTGGGGGTATTGCCCGCCTCCTATGAAAACCCTGGCACTGGTGAGAACGGAGTGTCCCCACGTGCTAGTAATTGTTGTTGTTGTTGTTGTTGTTGTTGTTGTTGTTGTTGCTGCGGTTGCTGCTGCTTGCTGCTTTTTTTTTTTTTTTTTTTTTTTTTTTTTTTTTTTTTTTTTTTTTTTTTTTTTTTTTTTTTTTTTTTTTTTTTTTTGTTCTTTTATTTCTCTATTTTTTCTTATTTTTTAGTTTTGGTTTGTTTGTTGTTTTTGTTGTGTTTGTTGTTGTTGTTGCTGTTGAACTCTCATTCTTGAAGAATAATTATTGTTGATCCCCCCCCACCGGTGCACATTGATTTTTTTCGATTGAAGTGCCCCCCCCGGGGCTCGCACCTTGTTTTTTCTCAAGGAAAGTCTTCATGCTCAAACTGTGCCCCTGCCCCCCGGGCTACAACAACAACGGCTCCCGCCTGAGACTTCCTCCAATTTTACTCAGGACTCCCGCTCCCGCCTGAGTCTTCCTGGCAATTTACTCAAGAAGGGCGCTCCCGCCTGAGACGTCCTCGCAATTTTGTCAGGACCGCCGCTCCCGCCTGAGACTTAATCGAAGTTTATCATGCTCAAACTGTGCCCCTGCCCCCCGGGCTACAACAACAACGGCTCCCGCCTGAGACTTTCTCCAATTTTACTCAGGACTCCCGCTCCCGCCTGAGTCTTCCTGGCAATTTACTCAAGAAGGGCGCTCCCGCCTGAGACGTCCTCGCAATTTTGTCAGGACCGCCGCTCCCGCCTGAGACTTCATCGAAGTTTATTCAGGAACGGCGCTCCCGCTTGACATTTCATGCAATTTAGTCAGGACTTTTGCTCCCGCCTGCGACTTCCTCGCAATTTGCTCAGGAACAGCGC